TGTTTTTTTTTTACATCCACCCGATTCACTGGAGCACCCTTAGTGGATGCACCTCAAAAGTAGGACTTTTCCTGAACTCAATAGCTACATCATGTAGCCTACACGTGTAGTTTCAGGCCTCTACCTTTAGAACGTGGTTAAAATAATCATCAGTCACTCACTTAGTGTCAAAGGAAACACAGCCATGATTGATGCAGCTGAAATGATTCTGCTCACAAGGTGGAGGAATGAATAAATAATATGTATTCACTGAAAAGGGATGACTAGATGAGACTAGACTAGAAAAGTCAATGAGATCAAGGGTCAGTTTCTGACAGAGATCAATTGGTTACTGACAGATCGACACAAGATTGTGAGGACGAAATTGGGTCCATTCCTGAGTTCTAGGGAAGGAGTGTGCGAAGCAGCTTCAAGAAGTCATCACCAAGGGGTTGGCATGCCACCAAACACCAACCGAGGACGGGTATGGAGCAATAAAGAACGCTCAGGATGAACCATATATCATTCTTGTCCACCTGGAAAGAAATGACAAATTCTTTATAGTTTCAGCCATCCAGCAGCTCATGCATTGAAGGCTTCTGCAATAAGGACACTTATCTGTTTTCAACTTCATCTCTATCTACAAACTTTTAACCTTCAATTTGGCCAAGTTTGCAAATACATTACCCATTGGACCTACACTGAATCCACATTTCCAAGTTTCATTCATATTTTTAACATTCTCAGCTCTGGAGAGAACTGGATAAACATGGAAATCTTGATAAGCTTTAATAGTCCGACTCCTTTAGTGACTTCATGGTGTTTTGATGCAAGTAAATTTTTGCTCATGAATAGGGTCTACCAAGACTTCAGGTCAGTGACTTACAAAAGAGCCTCCCTGAATGAAGAAGAGCTGGCCATTTCGATGAAAGAGAGTGAGAGCTGAGGCAAATCCAACAAAATACATGATGATGAGCAATACACTCAAAAAAAATCCAAAAGAAAAAGGATTTGAACGTCCCCTCACTCCTCCTAGATCATACCTGTAAGTGGAAAGGAGAGAAAAAATCTATCATGGATGAAAATAGCACTTAAATTTATTCAGTGCTAGTTATGCTGCATTCAAGCTTAAGCTACTAAATGGGTTTTCTCACAGCTACTTTTCAAGCAGAATAATATAAAATGCAAAAGCTCAGCCAGAAACATTTCCTCCTTATTACTTAAAGGTAATATACCGGGTAATAATAGGTAAGGAACATGACTAAAGTTAAATATTTATGTGTAAGAAAAGGATGATGCTTACTGGCACCAGACCTTGGTGATAAGTGGAAAAAATATTAAACCTTCCTTACAAGCCTAAGTGCCAGATTCACCAAGGTATTTTCCTGGACCAACAAAATGCTTCATTACTTATATGGGTACTGCATAGATTGTATTCTGGTTCTGCTTGAGGCTGTACCTACTAGTATGCTACAATAACTCTACACAGCTCACCTATCCAGAATCCCAATGACACAAATAGTATAGAGGGCCAGAATGATGATGGAGATAGATGGCAGTGGCCCAATGATCATTGCAGAAGCTGTTGAACTTCTGTCTTCTTCATTCCACAAATGGCAAACCTAATGTAAGTAGAAACAATAAGCACAGCATAATGAGAGCTTTCATACCTACCTCTCTTTACCCCTCGACTGTATCCAGGAACAAGAGAAGACTAACCAGGATGAATTGTAGGAGGGAGATACCAGCCAGAAGGCCAATGCAGCATGTGTAAAACTTTTCCCAGAGCATTTGAAGGTAAATGGAGAACATGACGGGGACCTTATCATGGGATGATGCAAATTCATGCTGTTGCTGTTCATCTCCAGGTCCCATCTTCACGTGGTCACGATGCATGGCTGTGAACCCACCCTTACATTCCATGAAAACACGACTCCCCATCTCACTGTCATAAGATGTGATGGGGCTAGCTCCCGTCAAATCACAAGGGCCGTCCCATTTGCCACGTGTCACATCGCTGTTTAGGTCATCAAGCAGTCTCAATGGAATTAGAGATTGGGATTTAGACTTGGTATCACTGAGTGAAGTGTTGCATGACTCAGCAGTGTTCTTTCTCCTCCGATCCCTTCGACTCCTAGAAGGCGTTTTTTCTTCTTCTGTCCTCCTTTCATCTTGGAGAGTCTGAGAACTCCTTCTACTTGAGTGCAATGTCTCTGACTCTTCCTGATTTCCAGAACTAGATGTCATCAGCTTCCCCTGCAAGGGAACTACACCACGGATGCTAACAGCCATGATCACTGTGCATTCCTGCAAAGGAGTTCAACTATGCAGTTAAATGAATCTAGTCATGATGTTGATTAGGATTAAAATGATAAAGATAACATAAGTGGACATAACTCTGCAAGCATTAATGAAAGCTGTTCTGTGGAAGCATGGGAATGATAATAATGAAGGGGTGAAGGGTTGAACCACCCTTTAACTAACTCTTCCACATGGCACCTCCAGTTTAGCCTTCATCAGATTTTCATTTTTAAACTCTTCTGAGTTTTTAAATGACATTCTCTCAGGGGTCTTTTTGATCCTATTGTACTTCTGAGTACTCTTACGAATCATTACACTGCTAAGTGTTTACAAGAGTATTATGCATGCAGAGTAATTTTTAAATCTTCATATGCAATAAGAAAGTAATATATGATTTAATAGATATAAAATGAGCTTTTTTTTTATTGAGTTGGGTCAGAAGAGACCCCAGAGGGGATGCAAGCATCACAATATATTGTTGCAAACTCTCAGGATGTTGTCATCTTCACTTGAGCAACACATCAGACTTTGCTACCTTCACATTAATTTTATATTTCAGACCAAGTCAAGGTTGACCAATAGATGTATGCAGCATGGTCATTATTCTTCATGGAAATCCTCAGAGCAACAAAATAGAACCTATTGCAATGAAAACTTCCTTCTAATCTGTTCTGAGTTGTCAAGCTGAGATCTCCACTAAGTTGTTGGAACCAATTAGATCCAACTTCTCTCATGCTGGCTCAAGGCAAGTTTTGAATCCAACATGGACTCGGCCTGAGCTGACAAGGTAGAATGAGGATGTTTGCAAAAGCAGAATAAAATCAACTGAGATACATTTTTTTTTGTTTACATAGAGGGTGAAGCATGTAACACCCCATGAGAAAATATGGTATACTTATTTAATTAGGACTTTTTGTTGCAAGAAAAATTAGAGGCATAACATTGCATGTTCCTAATGGTTAAAAAAGTAGAAAAATGTTTACCTACCCTGCTCTAAGCTATAGTCAGGGCAAAGTCACTGAGGAATCTCATTCTAAATATCCTAATCATCCAGCACCAAGCCAGGTGGACTGAAAAAACTAAGACGACTAATAAAGTTTGACAGTCCATTCTGACCAATGTAAAAACCCATCAAAGAAATGGGCCCCAGTTTGAACAACTATTGTGAGAAAATTAAAGAAGTGACTTCTCATTGGCATGCAACACATGGTCCAACATGTAACTCAAAAGGGAAAGAAATTGATGAGTCAGGGAAAGCAAAGGCAGAGCTCACTTCCCTCCCTTCCATATTATTCAATGGATAGGGTCTGACCCAATAAAGATGAAGTTCCAATATTATATCATTTTCTACTCTCTTCGCTTCTTATAAGACTAATCTTCATTGAAGGCAAGCCTAACAACAATCCTGAAGCAAATGAAATACATACTTCCTTCAAATGTGAACATTTAATTGATTCCTGATGTCAAACCAAAGGGATTCAACTCAATTCTGTATTAATAAGTGATAACCACAGAAAAGCATTAAACACAAGTGAAATTCTATGAGAAAGTTCATGCACAGGGTCTCTCAAAGGTTAGAAAATCTAGAAATGTCCATACGAAGAACCATGGAGATAGAGGTGGAAACAGGACCTGTTTGAATCTTGAAGCATGTCATATCCCTGAATATTTAACAAGAAAATTTTTATTTTGCAGAAGGAATAAATACCACTCATGAAGAAAAGTACAGCATCCAGAAAGTATCAGAAAGAAAGATACAAGATCCCCATTTGCCTGGTGTACTCAATCAATCAAGGACATCAGATGCTCCACAGCACTCTTCTTGCTTGAAAGCTCAAACCATGGAATCTGTTGAGGATGGACAGACACATGTACATAAAACAATTCCTTAAGACATTGCAATCATACTAAAAAAATGTTTTGCTCTGTTATTCATTATGAGGCAAGCCTTACTAAAACAGGTTGAAGCCCAAGGAAGGTGAGTTGGCGTAGCAACATCCGCAGTCTGCCAGTGATGGCCAGGGTATTTACACAGTACATGTTGCGAGCACCAACAATGATTGCCAGAGGGAGACATCCAGCAGGTGGATTAACTGAAAGAATTTTTTCTGGGCATTCTCTCAGTTGAGGAGCAGCTGCCTTGAATGGCATCACCTTCTTTCTACCTCTTTCCAGCAAAAGGAATACCACTGAAATTCAGAAAAATAAAATGAGATCATAGAAATGTATGATGGAGTAGCTTGAAAGAAGAATGTCCAATCATTTTTTAACCAGCTCCATTGTTTACACACTTGGCCCGAGAATTTTGAACCATCTTAGAGTGACCAGAGCTTTAAACACTCCATGTGACAATTAACCACACTCAAATGACCACCATACAAAAGATGTAAGAGTCCAACCCCATTCCCAGTTAGTTCCATCCAGGTAAAAGGAAACTTGAACGAAGTAACAGCTTGGTTGTATAAAGAATATCAGCTGCCTATAAATATGTGCAGGAAAGAATTCTAACATGAACACTTTTATGACAGTAGCATTCTTAGTGGTGTTTCTTGAAACAAACCTAAAGTTAGCCAAAGCTGTTAAGATACTAAGTGACAAACAATGAACCAACCTATAATAATTAGGCAATAATAGAAACTGAGAACAACATGGGACATTCAGAATGATCCAAATTTTCTGCATAAATTGTTTTAAGGTTGATCAAGGGATGAGCACACATGAGAATGACTAACATGGCATTGAAAAATGAGGGAATGGACAGAGGATAGGTATCCAGTCTTGAGGAACATTGAAAGAGGAAGATAGTTCCTGCTGGAATTTGATGACCATCTGTTCTTGCATTGAACGAGCTCTATACCTCTTCTTTGGGAAGTCTGGACTATATTTCTGCAAAAACAGCCAGCACCATACATCATACATAGTTGCTCACTTCTTCCGTCACATTTCTTTACCATAACTGACCCTCAGAGTGCACATCATTCCAACAATTTTCAAAAAGGTAAGAATTGTAGCAATTTCTCATGTCCCTTCCATGAAAAGTGAAATGACAGAAGTAATAATGATGGGGATGTTCAAGAAAGGAAAGCATATCTAGGACATACCCATCAAATTGAAAATGGGTATGAAGTGCCTTTCCTATATAATTTTTAACTACTCAATTCAATAAACTGCTAAAATGTGAGTATAAATTCTGGTCCCAGGGAGGTTTATCAATGATAACCACACATTTCCAAAACAGATCTTTCCCAGCAAAAAAGTTTACTCCTGGGAAATTTGTAGTGGTGATGACTAAATGACCTGGAATTTGACTAGTGAATGCAAATGCCCTTTCAACCTAGAAACTACTGTTTCAGCATACAATGGACCCTGATACAAAAATTTAGCCATTTGTGTAGGCTATGCCATAAACATGTAATGTCTGATACTCTGTGCATTTTCATGAAGACATGTGATAGTTATTAGGCAAATTATTTTGAAGAGATGAAACATAGAGTATACATGACCATCTGGGATCTGGTAGTTACAAGGTTAAGAATCAATGATTAAAAAAATATGTGAAATGTATGCCAATATTAATCTAATAAGGAATACAAACCTACCAGTAGGATCAGACTGTACTGTGCCACAAGGAGCATGAACCTGTTCTGCTTGGCAGGATTTCACACTCTAAGGTACTACTGAGGTAATGCCAGCAGTAAAAAATACCTGACACAATTAATTTAATACCTAAGGCAGTATTCTTAGCAATCGATGCAAATTTTTACATTCCTGAAAAAAATTACTCCTGACAGGGTTCATCATGTGAAAACACTCACTCTTAACAGGGTTGTAACTGACTGTTGGACTCAGACTCATCCCAAAATGACCAATTTCAACAACTGTAGGTTGGTCCAAAAGCAAGGAATATAAGAGAGCAACATTCATTACCTTTGTGCAAAATTTGTTGCTTTTGCTTTTTGTAAGCTGATTGAGAATGAGAGTTATAGCACATCACTTTAGACACAGCTGTAGAGTAGGGGTGCACAACATACAGCCCATGGGCAACGTGCGGCCCGTGAGGCCCTTGCTCATGGCCTGCCATGACTGGTGGCGTTGTAAGTGCTACAATGGCTCCTGCCCTGTTGACCACAGCTATGATCAGCCAGACTGCTGCCCACGGTAATGTGAAAAAAACAACAAATCACCCTCAAAGCCTTTTGAATTGTGCACCCCTGCTATAGAGGATCACTTTTTGTATGGTAACAGTCAAGGACTACTTGTGTATGAACTTATAAAACTTTAGAAAATAAAAGGCAGGACAAGAGATGAACCTACACTAAGAAGTCATGAGGCACTAAGAAAAAAAAAACATTTCTTCACTCACACTGATTAGAGTGACATCAGCCTGTGGAGAATACAAAGTCTTCCAGGCAAGCAAACTAATGACAAAAGTTTGGAGAGACTTCTATATATGAAGGTTTTGACATAAATAGAATGTCACATACAAGCAAGAGCTCTTCTTCCAATCTCCGAGGGAGCATTGGCCCCTCATAATGCCAGCATTCCACTTTCAATGATGCATTTAGTGTCAGCAGTTGCCTTCCAGCATCATAGTAATGGGGAGAACCTATGATGAGAGAAGGACAGGTCTTGCAAAATCAGAAAGACAAACCATTAGTAAAAAAACACAAATTGCTCACAAATTATATGACACCAGACCTTACTTTTGAGATGCAGGAATTGCAAATCAGGAATCAGGCCCTATTCACACAGCAACTTTGGGAAACACATGCTCTTAGATGCTTTCCAACTATCACTATTTCAGAAATGCAATTTTTGGGAAATCACAAGGGTAGGACTCAGAATATCCAACAAATGAATCCAGTCTTCCCATATATACTCAAACTTTCTTCCAGAGCATTCTGATCATAGAATAACTTCATGAAATTCAGTGTCTACTCTGAATCCAATAAAGGTACCATCCTTCCAATTTTGAGAAAATGAAAATGACTGAAAAATTGATACAACCAATTTGAAATTGAGCAAAACACAACTCACTGAGAATACATTGGAGAATCGATGACTGGAACACTAAAGATATCAAATCCACGGGAAAATGGCCTTCCTGAGCCATAGTCACGAGAAATGAAAGCAGGCTTTGGGGATGTAGAAGTATTTCTTGTTTGTGCTGAGGTGATCTGAAGTGATTCAGCAGCTCCATCAATAATGAATTTGAAGGAACACTCAGATTACTACTGCAGAAGAAAAATCTCTCAAAGTCCTTAATTCTCACATCATCAGCAGATCGTAAATTCTCCTCTACTGCTTCCAAAAGTGGCGGGAATTGGAGGCGTATGTTCACACCAGAGAGTGCCAAGTGGATACATGAAGTTGCTGGCAGATGAGGAATGACTGGGATGCATTTCTTTTGAAGGGAAAGCAGAGCATCAGCATCACTTGGAGAAGCACATAACCGTATCCATTTGAAAATGGCTGCGAGAGAGATGTGATCAGCTGAATATTCAGAGAGCCTTTCTATAGTTTGACGAATAGCAGTTTGGATGATGCTTCTATCTTGGGGACAGTGTTGTGTTTTGAAGAAACTGCCAGCTACAAGTCCCAAAAAGCCCAGATTCAGGTTGGGAATGACTCTAGAAATCCTAGCTTCAATCTCACTCTGAGGGAGTTTCTGATTCCATTTCCTTGATAGAATAATGGAAAAGAGAAGGAAGAGAAATTGCTCCTCTGACAGAGAATTCAACTTGGCTGACAAATGCAGGACTCCCACATTGTGGCTCTCACAAATGCGACTCATATGCAGCTTATACCACAGATGGAGAACATTTATGGTCTCAATCACACTGCAAGATGCCATCCTTGAAACAAATGCTTGATCCAGGCCATTCCATAATGCATAAAAATTTGGAGTTTTCACTGATGCAGTTTGAGGCCATAATTTCAGGGAATAAAGGAGCTCCACTAACTGAGCAAAACTGAATGAATCACAGTGATTTGCAATCTTGAAACATAGGCTCCTCAAAGCTGGGTCTTCCAAGGAAGTCATTGAGTTCCTTGCAAGACAATTAAACATGTGCACACACTTGTCAATAGGAAGCACATCTACTCTTACATCCCTGGTGAGATACTTGCAAGCATCCGCTTCATCCTGTTTCCATACTCCCATTCTCCTAGAGGCACATGTGAATACTTCAGTCTGCTCAAGCAAACCATACCAGTAATTGTTTTCCACATCCACTTGTACTTTGTAGAGGAGAGGCAGCTTCAGGGTAAGATGCCGTTTAAAGTTCATGTAAAAATATTTGCAGAGCAGGTTCTGCCTGACGACTGAATATTGATACCAAAGCATGTCTGAAATAGCCACAAGCATCACAGATAAAAAAAACACTCACTATTTCATTGTCCTATAGCAGAAACCTCACTGGCACCCCCACAAATTTTTTTTTAAACACTTCTCATTCATTCATTCACTCACTTTCTCAACTGCAAAAAGTATCAGAAATGGTCTGAGCCTGGGAATCTACACAAATGGGTCACTGTCACTTACGCAATGACCCCATGCAAACATCAAAGTCCCCTGAGAAGATCAACAACAACTTTCAACAACGTCCATTTTCCTGAGACCGAAGGAAAATTTCATAGTCCCTTTCCATCTCATCATCCCAGGCATCATCTTCTTCAGCAAGTCCCTGTGCAGCAAGAAATTCTTGTTCCTCAGCACTCAAAAAGGAGCCACCCAAACCAGTATTATAGGTGAAATCATCCTGGATGGAGTTGTTTTGAGTGAATTCTGTGGAGGAATGCTTCCTACCCCAATCAGCAGCTCTTAGGGTAATCACATTTGAAATCATACTCTTAGTGGTGCTGGAGAGCTCTGAAGTGGGATCTTCAATCTTATTCTTGAGCATGTTCATTAGGCAATCCATCTCTGGAGCACTGTTCCCCGTACTTGGGTCACGATGCTCAAGATCTTCCAGGGCGCTCCCTGACAACTTGAGGACTTGGCAAATGCATTTGATATATTCTTCATTCCATGTGGATGTCAGTGACAGAAGGACCTTTGTCAGAGAATCTGCAAGAACTGGAATTTTCTCCTGAACCTCACTCCCTTCTGATTTCATATTCAAAAGAAGTTCAGCCAAAAAGAAGGCATAGCCACAAATCCATTGTCCATTCTCCTGCAGCTTTGATGTGTGATGTTCATACTCTTCTCTGCATCTATCAAGCAGCACTGACTGGAAGTCTCTCTTGTCGGGAAGCTGGACATTGAGGTTCATGGTGAGGTATTTGCATAGCTTTGCACCGCTATAGCGGAAATTGGCCTCAGATACAGACTTATCGAAAATAACATTGACAACAGCTGTCAGGGTACCTATATCCATATTCCAGGTATTCATGGAGACAACGAGAGGAGGGATCACAGAATCAAATTTTCCTGGACTCATGTGGATTTCTGAGAGAGATTCATGCAGCACAGCCATATGATCATCAGATTTTGAGTTTCCACTTGAATTTCCCTGACCCTGAAGCCAGCGAGGCACAAAAACAGCAGCCTCAGCAGAGAGCTGTGAATTCTTGACCTTATCAGCAAGGTTTTCTTGATTTCCAACACCGATACCTCTGTTGTCAGAGATTTTTATATCCTCTATGCCCTGTGAGATTCCAGCTGTTCCTGTATCTTGGAGAGCAGTCATTGGGCGACGCAATTCTTGCCGTTCTCCGTAGCTGCCACGTCCTCTACCTGCACTGTATCGATTTCCTGGTGCTTCACTCATTTTCCCAAAGAACACAACCTTCAAAGAATCTAATCACCAAAATAGTAGACTCATGTAAGCTCTGGAAAATTCAAGACAAGGATAGGAATGAAACCTGGGAAAGGAATGGTTTATTGAAGAGCAGAGATGAATTTACAGGCTTAATACACATTCAAAAGCAGCAGATAAACTCCCCTTGCATTTGGATGCAGCCATAATGGAGGTAATTATTTCAAATTAGTGTAATTGGACAGAGTTCATATTGAACCATTCCAATTCAGACTTATTTCCTTACCATGCAAGTCACCAGTTATTGAGTAGAAAGATCTATGTTCAGTTCTTAATATTTCCTTGCCACCAAATGGAAAGATGAGAGGGATTGCCTTCATTTGTTCTGGCTGAATTTTTTTAGAATGTGAAAGACTTGACTTGTGCAGCATGTGCTTTTATGATAAACACAGAGTTTTCTGCAATATAGGCTAGTTTACTTGGTCTCTCCTGTAACCTGTTAGCCCTGTGGCTCTTTAACAACCCCCTTTGGCTAACATAAAAAAAAAGTCGTTTTTCCATGCAGTCTCCACTTGAGTGGAGACAGCTTCAGTAAATATCTGTAAAAATGCCTAGTTAGAGACAACAGCTTACATCATATACAAAGAATCTGTTTAACTTAAGCACCATTTCTCTAAATCTTTGTAAGAAGTATCAGAAATAAACATGATGTTATTCAATGAAGAAAGGATTGGCATGGCAGAAGTATCATAAGGCTAGTTCAAAAAGTGATACTTATGGGCTTAGCATAGGCCTTTGCAGAACATGAAAAGTTTTCCTATGTCCCAATTTCTATGCTAGTAACATCAGATGAGGAAATGCTCTATACTCCTAGGTCATACTCCTATTTTTACCCCATTTTCTGCTCACTTCTCACTGCAGGAGGATTTGGAGAAAAAGGACTGGGGTTCCATGAATCACTTGTGGATCTCCCAGCAAGTCCAGGCCCAATGACAGACTACATCTGCATGAAAATGTGTTTTTGCAGGAAATAAGTGTTTCACAATATCTCCCTCTTTGTGCATGAACCATGCCTTCTACTACAAGCAGGAAAATACAAGCAAGTGAACATGAACAACATAAAATTTATGCTGTTCCATTAGTAATTTCCTTACTAGACAGACCTAGCCTTTTCAGTGTCCACAAAAATGGATACCACCAGTCCCCATTTTTATATATTTTTCCACTCTGTGCAGCCTAAGGTCTAGTTCATACTCATGCTAATTGAAAAATCCAATCCACCATGGCCAGCTGCTGGACTGCACTCCTATGATGCATTAAGAAATATGCCATACAGCAGCCAGATGCTAGATGTTGTTAGGCAAAATGTTTGTGCTATACAGCAGATGCAATGCAGTCTGATAACAGACTGCTGCTGTGAACTGCATCAAGAGTGTATGAACTCTGCATAAGCCTGTGGATGTAATTATTTTCCTCTGCTTCTTTTTTAAACCTAGAAGTTATATGACTGTGAACCTTGGCTGATTCTAGAAATAAAAGTTAAATATTTTTTTACTCTTTCCTAAATGTAATTTTATAAGATTTTGGTGGCCTAGTTAATACAATATGATAGTACCAATAGTAAGAGGCTCAAGGCCCATGATTCCACCCTGACTCAGGAACATCAACTAACCCTCCCATCTCTCTGCCCACCCCCCCTTTGGGGGTCAGGGGTGAGGAGTTAAACAGGGTTAGTAGAGGCTGCCTTCCCCCCCACCCCCCCGCCCCCCCCCCCCCCCTTTTTTTTTTTCTTACAAAATACAAGTAACTCTTAACCATGACAGACTCATTTTAGCACAAGTGGTTCCTCTGGGGAGATGAAACCCAAGTACAGCTTTCACCATTGGAGCTCTTCAGCTTCCTGCTGTTACAGATGAGAGAGCATTATGCTTTGAGGCCCATAAGCACGCTGGGTCCTGGACTTAGATATAAACATCTAACTTGGTTGGTTTTGAACCTTAGTCAATGGAGCCAACCTTGCTGTGACATAAGGGCAATGACACCCTGTGTGCATCATTGTGCATGGGTGTGATTGTCCCATAGTGACAATCACACCCATATTTAACACGTTGACAACCAGCCTATTTTTGCTTGTCTGCCGCGTGGGACCACGCGCATTTTTTTTGTCAAAAAATGCGTCCTGCCATCAGGTGCATCCTGGCATCAGGACGCATTGTCGCCAACGTGTTAAGTACATTTTTCAATCCTACAGTGTTTCTGGATTGACTTTTAGCCACCTACCCCCCTTCCATTTCACCATTGTCAATGGTGCTGGAGGAACACCTAGTAATTACAGTCATTACTAATGGTGAAGGGGTAAACCAATGAAGCGACAGCCCTCCCTAAGCGAGGAAACTGCTACAGAACAACTCGACAGTAGAGCCCATAGAAAAGCACGCAGCACACGTAACAGGGATATAAGTCAAACCGGAAATAGTGTAATATTCTTGCAGCCCATCTGCCCACTCCATTGGAAAGCTGATCTGAAAAGCCCAGCAATATGAACAACTTGTTTTTTCTGCATATGACGCCAGTCCCTAGCTCTGAGAGTATGAAGACTTCACGATATGACGACTTGATACCATTAACCATGCCACGCACCTGCTCTTCTACCAGTCGCACAAAAACTTGCGGATTCACGTGAAAATTATGTTGCACTCCACCGAAAAGCATAGTGCATATAGTTAGGCTGATATTTAGGCCTATCCTGTCATACATTAGCCAACGCCTAAGCCTGGGCAAACTTTCGGTCTAAGTAGGTCTAAACCCGATGACGGAGACGGTGACCTGCGCCCGTAATGGAGGCCACCATGCCGGTGAGAGGGGAGCAAGAATTGAAAGCAGTAGGCCAGATGGCGCTGGAGTAGCTCGATCGCCACATCTCCCTCCAACTCCAGCTACAACCAGTGTCTGGCCTCCTTTCATCCGCGATGACGTCGTTCTCGCTCGGAGCTAGGTTGGTTTTTTTTTTTCGTTTCCGTATCCTTGTTCATGCAACGATTCGCGGATGGGAAAATATTAAAGTAATAATGAATAATAGGGTGATGAAATAAGAATTTCCAGAGATCTGATTAGCGTTTCCTCGCCGCTTCTGAGGAAATACATCGCAATATCTCCTATTGCAAATCTGCATTCATGCGAGACTTCTTTTCGTTGATCGTTCACAGAGTGAAGACATTGCTTCCGCGTGCACGAAATACTTTTACTCCATTTAGTCAGATTCGGTGATCGTGATTTCCTTCTGATTTTCGATGAGAAGAATAAATAAAATTTCGTCCGCTATTCAACCAATTAAGCAATTCTTTCAAGCTGATATTATAATACCAGTGAATTTCGCAATTTTGCAAACGCATGGCAGGCATCGGTGTTCAGTTGGAATGCATTTCGTACTGGAAGAACATAAGTCTTTGGTTCACCTGAGATTGAAAAGAAATTCATTATTTTCCCAGAAATAACTGCACTTTTTACTTGTACGAAGTGCAGCCACCCT